AGAAAGAAAAAGAAAGAAAGAAAGAAAGAAAGAAAGAAAGAAAGAAAGAAAGAAAGAAAGAAAGAAAGAAAGAAAGAGGGAGGGAGGGAAAGGACGGAAGGAAGGAAGAAAGGAAGGAAGGAAGGAAGGAAAAAGGAAGGAAAAGAAAGAAGGAAGGAAAGAAGGAAGGAAAGAGAAGGAAGGAAGGAAGGAAGGAAGAAGGAAGGAAGGAAGAAGGAAGGAAGGAAGGAGGAAGAAGGAAAAGAAAGAAGGAAGGAAAGAGAAGAAAAGGAAGGGAGGAAAGAGAAGGAAGGAAGGAAGGAAGGGAGGAAGGGAGGAAGGGAAGGAAGAAGGAAGGAAGAAAAGGGAAGGAAGGAAAGGAAAGGAAGGAAGGAAGAAGAAGGAAAAGAAAGAAGGAAGGAAGGAAGGAAGGAAAAGAAAAGAAAGAGAAATGTTAAAGCTCATTCAACCATCAAAAAGGAACACAGGAGAAAAATGAAGGTTTAGTTTGAAAATAGGGTAGAATCTCTCCCTCCTTTCTCCTTCCCCCTCTCCCTCCCTTCCCCCCTTATCTTCCTTATCAGCAAATCTTTACATCAGAATTGCTCTCAAAAACTTCTCTCATCCTTACTGTCTTGAATTGTAATTCACTAGGCTTTCTTTTTCCATTCCTTCCTTTCTTTTTTGCTTCATCTCTCCCTGTTTCAGTCTATTTACTTGTTCCTTATTTTGTCCCATTGCAGTTCTGGGGGTTCTTTTTTGCCCACTTTGAGCTTGGGGGAGTTTGTAGGATACCTTTCTCCTGCTGTCTTCTCTGGATTTCCCAGATAGCATCAGTGGAGAGTTACTCAGCCTCCACAGTAATAAAAGATTCTTGGCTGGTTAAGGTTCTTGGCTGGTTAAGTCACATTTGCTCACCCTGTCTTTAATAACTAGTTACTGAGAGCTGACATTGTCTAGGGTGTTGAGAATTGAGCATCCAACAAGCCATCCCTGCTCCCACAGAAAGCTGCTTCTTGAGACGAGACAGACACAATAAAATAGTTGTAGGCAGTGAAAATGCCTGGGAAAAAACAAAGCAGGTGTAACAGGGTTGAAAAATAGATATGCTGGGGTAAGCTGTGGCCTGAAAGGTGAAAGGGAGGGACAGGTCATGGCCACAGATAGATGTGCCAGCAGGAAGTTTCAAGTGGAGAAAACAGCATGTGCCCATGCCCTGAAGCAGGGAAACAGAATGATTTTTGCTAGGAGCCAAAAGAATACCTTCTGTGGGTAACAGCTCTGAGGAGAGTAGATCTGCTGTAATAAAGAATTTATGGATTCTTTCTCTGCCTGTATCATGAGGATAGAACACCAGAAATTAAATAGTTTGAGGTGGTAGGTCCGCATTCCATTTCCAGAGAAGTTAATATAGTCCTAGAGTTGATCACACATGTACATTTAAAAATTTTCCTTTGTCTCTGGGAAAAAGAAAAAAATAGTAACATCCCTATTTTTGATATTTTGTTCTATTTTTCTAATATTTCTATTCTATTATCGTAAGTGACCTTTCTCCTATTTGCTGGTCTTATTCTTTATTGTTAGCCTCTAGGCTTCCTGACTGAGCTAAGCTTGGTGCTCAGTGGCTAAAAGAAAACCAGATGAAGTGTGTAAAGGCCCTATGAAGTCTACTTCTGCAAAACACAATACACTACCAGGGCTACTCTTCTGCATAGATAGGACTTGACTTTCCATGCCCATATCTATTTTACTCATAGTATGTGTATAGTATGTATTCATCTTATATGTACTCATATTATGGTATATACATACATATATATGTCTATATTCCATAAGCTTTAAAAGCAAAAGAAAAAGCCTGGCACCAGTGGTTCATATCTGTAATTCTAGCTACTCAGGAGGCTGAAATCTGAGGATCATGGTTCAAAGCCAGCCCATGCAGGAAAGTCCATGAAACTCTTATCTCTGACCAACCACTAAAAATCAAGAAATAGAGCATGAAGAAGGAGGAAAAGGAGGAGGAAGATGAAAAGGAAAGAAAGAAAGAATCAAGAAAAGAAACTAATTCTTGGAGACCTTCAGTGCTGCCACAACTTCTCCAGTCCTACTAGGATTGTTCCTTATCCTTCTTTTAACTGTTGCCCTTAACCAGTTCAGGCTATATTGCATTAGAAGAATAAAAACTTTAGTCCAATTCTCACTCAGAAAGTAGCTGTGCAGTCAGCCAAACCCAGCTTCTAGTCTCATCTTTATAATTATCAGTCTTGGCAAAATAAATAATAACCATTCAAAAACTCATTATTTTCAGCTGTGAAAAAGAGGGTAGCATTTCTTTGTCACAAGGTTTCTCTGAGCATTAAATAGATTTCATAGGAAAAGCACTTAGTACAGGCCTGCCTCATAAGCTTTCCCAATGTCAACTCTGATATTTCAAATCCCTTATAGTTCAAATAATGCCATTGTAATTGGGCAATTTTACCTACATGGAAAAAAATGTATTTTGGAAGCAAAATAACAGTCTAAAACCAATACCAGAGTAAGAAATACGAATGTGTAATAGAATAAAGGGCTTCCTTGACAGTAGAGTGATCAGGAGAAAAACTGTATTTGAAATATCAATTGCAACACATTCTTACATAAGCATAAAATAGATTGCCTAATAAATTCTACTCTTACCATTCTACTTTGAGTAACTGTATATGCCTGAAAGCAGCAAAATCATATGTATTTAAGGATTTCTCTTAAGGAAGAGTTTTCTCAGAATTAGCTTGGCTTCATCTACCTCCTCTATACACAGTGACCTTGAAATGACAAAACACTACTTCACAGAAGAGACCAATTATAGTAAAATGTTGCATAAGTGAAGCACTTTTGCATAGATTATTACTTTTACTCCACAACACTAGGATCCAGCAAAGGGAAAATAATGATCAAAAACTCCAAGATCAGACCAGTGTTTCAGGTAAAAAAAAGAAAAAAATGTCCACCCTTCCTATTTCCAGTGTCCCCTCCCTCAGCCAAGGTCAAGGTCAGAGAGAGCAAGCATTGGTTGTTATAGCTTGTCTTTTTCCCCCCTTTTTGACTCCATGAATGAGGGGATACTGAGAGGATAAATGGAGGTGATTGCAGAGTGGAGGTACTCAATGCAGTGGGATGAGGAGGAAGGGATGGGCATAAAACACAGAGCTCTCCGTTTACAATACAGAGAGACTAAGTCTTTCAAAGTACAGTAAATCCAAGGCTGTTATTACCCCATTTGGGGCCTACATCACAAAAATTCAACTTAGTAGAACAAATCTCATTTAGCAAGAATTGAAGGAGGCCTTCCTTTGAAGTATAATTGCTAACACTTGTTCTAGAAAGCACTTCCATTCCTTAGTATGCTTAGGGAGTTTTAGTTTCTAAAGTCTGCATAAGAGGGAAATGGCAGACTGGCAGAGAAAGAGACAGAGTCAGAGACAAAGAGAGAATACACACTCTGACAATTTAATTCGAAGAAAGGAAACTTCATTCAATGCTATGAGGATTTTTCTCAAAAGGGCCAAAATTTCTAGGACTTGTGAATCTTTACCCAGATAAAACATTTCTGTGAAGGAAGGGGAAGAGCTTCGTCATGTCCACTAACCAATAAAAATAGGGCTTTGTGTTAGACCAAGGTGAAGCCAACTATTGGGGCCAGGCTTCTGTATGGGAATTCCTTTGTTAGGTACATGAGCGAATACAGTGCAGCAACAGGGCTCTTTGGAGGTATTCATGAGCCAAAAGGAAAAGAGGTAGTGAAATATGGATACTGGGTCTAACTGGCACCATCTTGGCATCTTGGTGAATGAGGGACTTTCCAAAAATTCTTAGAGGTGAAATTCCACCCTGAGGTGATGGGTATGCCTAAATTCCTAGAGGCAGGGCGGAGTCTTGGACAATAGGTTACTGGATCTGCCAGGCCTGTCTCCGGAACTCTGGACACTCTTTGAACTCTGGAGCACCCTGTGCCCCTGCCCACTGACCATGATCCTGTTTGGGCACCTGCATCTCAGTGCCATTTTGTGCCATGTCTCAGGTCACCATGGCCTCCCTCTTGAGCTCTCCCTTAGAGTTGATCTGGTTTGTTGAGGTGCTTTTTCTGCTCTTTCTTTACTCTGGTACCCTCACGGACAGTTTCCTAACAGAATTAAATGTGTTCGAGGCTGCAAGTTTTGGGGCGAACAATGTGCCCCACTCTCAATCACTGGCTTTCTAATAAAGACTTCTGATTCGACCTCTCAAAACGAGGCTTCTCTGCATCTCACAATCAAATTTCCATGTAACAGTAGCATCTTCAGACAAAGAAGCGGCAGGCATTTTAGTTCTGACACTTTCCCACTACACAAGGTTTTAGTTTATATAAATTTCACCTCACTACCAAAGTGTAAAGATTCTAAGCTGGGTTGAGCTTGACAAGGTGTTCAGAGGGAAGTGTGGGTCTGGATGGTATAACAGCTTGGTAAACCCCAGACTAGAGACAATAATCTGACTTCTAAGAAAATCCTCATGTGGTCTGATAAACACTAGCCCAAGTTTAGCCAAATCTCTAGAAGGGCACCATGGGAATACCCATTGGATGGAGCCCCAACCTACATGATAGCACCCCAAAGACTTTCTCAGCACTTTACCCAGGGGTGCTGGTAGATTTTTTCCTCCTATGACTCAACATGAACTCATATTCTCAAAAACTGAGTCTGGAGAGGCCGCAGATCATGTGGCTATGTGGTTTGCCCTGTGATTGTGAGCAAAAGCTGACTCCAAACTCCCCAAGGATAACGCAAAAATAAACCTTCCACGACCTCCTGGATGCAGAAATAGCCTATGTCCCTGATGAGATGTGTTCCTATCACAAGGCCTGGGAACTTCAGGCAGGGAAGAGAAAGATTGACCAATTCCAGACTGTATCTCTGTAGGCCACTAGGAAACTCCAGGCAAGGGAATGCCGAGAGTCAAGGCCAGACATAGCCCTGCATGAGCCTGGGCAGGGACACAGCACTCACCAAGGGTTCTGACGGTATTGCTGGGCCAGCTTGGAGGGCTGGAGCCGTAAGCGTTCACAGCCCTCACAGCAAACTGGTAGTTGGTATCCGCAGCAAGGCCTTTGATAACCATGGAGTCCATTTGGATCTGCTCCTGGATTATGGTCCAACTCTTGTCCAAATCTGGTCTTTATTGATTTAAAAAAAAAAAAAGGAAAAAAAAAAGCAGTTTAGAAATTTCAGAAATACCAGAGGGAAGCTAGCTAGCTGTGTAAATGAATAGCATTTGAACTCTGCAAGTAATACTCATAAAAATGAGTTAACATTTCCTATCTGAAAGTGGTCCTGATTTTAAATCATAGGTCATCATCTGTAAGCTCTGCCAATGAAAGCAAGTAGATCATTTTTAGGGCCAGTTGCAAGCATTGGTTAGAAAACATCTGAGTTTGCTTGCACAGCCTTAACTATGATGAAAAGACCCCCCACAGGCAAGTTCATGTTCAAGGACTAGGCCCTCCAGATGTTTCATAAACAAGCCTCCCCTTGGCAGTCCCATCCCGAGAGGTCAGGAGGGCACAGATTCTCTCTATTCACAAGCTGTTCACAAATAAACAAATGCAAGTTTTACAGGGTGACTGATAGCACGAATTACCATGGGAAAACCCAGGAAGAATCTGTCCACGAATATTCTTACTCATAACAATTTGTACATCTATGCCAACTTGCTGGAATGCCACCTGTCATTCCCAGGCACCTTCAGAGGAAGGTGCAGCTTCACTTAGAGCTTCCATTGGGAAGTAAGACACAGGAACAAGAGCACAAGCACTGATGGCTCACACCTGCAAATCTCAGGAGGCTGAGATCTGAGCCCAATGGCTCAAAGCTATTGGGATAGCTTTTCCTGTCTGGGACAGGAAATCCATGAGCTTCTTATCCCCAATTAACCAGTAAAATGGTAGGAGTGGATGTGTGGTTCAAGGCGTAGAGCACCAGCCCTGAGCAAAAAAGTCAAGAGCTAGTACAAGGCCCTCAGTTCTAGTCCCAGTACTCATACACATGCACAGTACACACACACACACACACACACACACACACACACACACACACACACACACACACACACACACACATGAGTAGAAGCTCCGGAGTTGGACAGAGCCAAGTTCAAACCCTAGCCCTGTGAATTGCAAGTTGCTACTTAACCTCTTAAGTTTTCCCACTAGTACATTTGTACATGGGGAAGGATAAAGTAAGTAATGAGACACACATTCTCATGTAGGGACTGGCATCCCGCTGTAAACACTCAGAATGTATTATCCTAATGTAAGGAGCTGATTTATTTATGGAGCTTGAAACCTCCAGTTGCCTGCTTACTCAATACCTGCATGGACCCATGCTTTCTTGAAATATGAATAGTCTGAATTGAGATATATAAAATATATACTGGATTTTAAAGAAAAAAATCAATGTAAACTAGCTCATTTGAAAATGGAAATTGAGTTTACGTTCATATTAGATACAAATTGAAGTGATAATACTTTGGATGTAAAATACGTTATTGAAATTCCTTTTACTTCCTTCCTGTTACCTTCTCGTTCTTTTTTTTCTTCCTTTTCTTTTGCATGTGTGTATGTGTGCATGCATGTATGCACACACATGCATACATGCACACCAGTTCTGGGACTTAAACTCAGGGCCTGGATGCTGTCCCTTGGCTTTTTACCTCAAGAATAGTATTCTACCACTTGGGCCATACCTCCACTTCTGGCTTTTTGCTGATTAACTGGAGATAAGAGTCTCATAGACTTTATTGCCCAGGCTGGCTTCAAACCATGATCCTCAGGTCTAAGATCCCCCAAGTAGCTAGGATTACAGGTGTGAGTCTCTGGTGCCCAGCTCCTGTTGCCTTCTTAATGCCACAGATACAAAGCAAGAACTTTTCTCTAGGCTTGTGCTACATCTCTCTTGGTTAGAATTGCTCTGTTTGAATGTCCTAGGTGAAGGACAGAAAGAAGAGCATTGTGGGTGACAAGACCTACAATATGAAAATTGGGAACATAGCACATACTTGGAGACATTGAGAATGGCCTAACTGGAAGACTGTATTGGTAGCTAAACCTAGTATCATTTATCAAGTGTTTCTAAAGTACTAAGCATTATCCTAATACTCATTTACTCTTTCCATGCTATCCAAAGCAGTAGGCACTAGTACTAAACACCATTTTTTGTTGTGGTTTTAATACAAAAGAAGAAACTAAGCCACCGGGTGGGTAAGAAACTTGTCCAAGGTCGTACAGCTAAGAAAGGGCCAGGCACATTTGGACTGATGGGTTAGATTAAGAAGATACTTGATATCAGAAGAAGGTCTAGGTGGGCTTTTTCTCTCTCCTTCCGCTTGCTCCCTAGCCCATGGAGAGCTCATAGGTCAATTCAGTTCTAGTTCAAAATCCTTAACATTTTTGTTTCTGATTTTCTCACAAGCTTTCAGTTGTTGTACAACATCTCTGCTCAAAAATATTCAGAGGGGAAGTGGCGCTGTGGCTTACGCGGCAGAGCGCTCTACTTGAGCGCAGGGACAATGCCAACGCCCGGAGTTCAAGCCCCACGACTGACAAGAAAAAAAAAAATCTTATTTCTAATGCAAAAATATTCAGAGGAAAACAGCAAGCAAAGAATGTTGATGTGTTTGGTCCTTCATGAACAAATTATCTGGCAAGGAAATAAAAGGAGGTAAGCTAGATGGACCCAATGTCTTTAATGTATGCTCATTTAGTTTTTCATTAGCAGGAATTACTATTGAAAGCCCAGTACATAAAGTGTCCTTAGACTCACCATGCTAAGCAGTAGTTAGAAGCTAAACATAGTATCTAAGAAGTCAGGGGCTTGGGAAAGCCAGAGTTTGAAGGGCTAATTTGCTGGAGGAAGAAGGGTTGATACCACTTTCCTGTTAGTCTTTCCCTGAAGATGGAATTCTGTAAACTAATTTTATCATCAAAGAGAAAACCTACAGCGAGTGGAAGATAACACACATTTGCAAACTCAAAGGAGAACAAAATCAGTTTGCAGAGAAAGCCACAGGGGGTGGGAGGAGTGAGGAAAGATGCCATCTTCAGATCAAACTCTTTGGTCCTCCTCTGCTAATCTTTCCTGTGAGATCTGTAGAGGAAATAACCTATTCTCCGAATATGTGGGGTGGGCATTTACCCAAGGCTCCCTGCAAGTAGCGGCAACAATCCTCACACAAAAGTTAGAGCAAACACAAAGATTACTTTGTATTTGTTATTCATTTCACACAAGAAAAAAAAAACTTACCAGCAAATAAGAGATTGACATCATTAACATTTTACTTCATTAAAGAGAGAGTGAGCAGAGCTCCTACGGATGGAATCCCAGTTCCAAATCTTTAATACTTTGCTTCTAATATTGTCTCAAGTTTTCCATTTGAATGCGTTCAGTCTCTTGTAATACAAAAGTGCAAAGGTGAGGCTGACAGAGAGAGATAATCAGGCCAGAGTATTGTCTTTAAGCATTCTGAGCAATAGCCGTTATCTTTTTTTGACTGGAGAAAACCTTGTTATCCTGACTTGTCAAATCACCATAGCAAAGTATCCTAATCCTGTCCCTAACAATGCAAAGGGACAGAAGGAGTGACTTTGACTGAGACCACCTCAGTAGAGATGGACAGCTGCTAGCAGGACTAGACCTTCAAGCACTTTTCCCAGTGGCAGGACAGGGATGCACATCACAGATCAGATCAGTGGCTGGCCTTTGGAGTGGTTGTCAGGTGGAGTTCGGGAAGGGCATGCATGAAATGGTGAGCAATAAATCCTCAAAATCCAGATAGTCAAATCAAGTACTCAAGGCATGTTCACCAGTTCATTTTAGTGGAAAAAAGGTACTGATCACGGGCAATGTTAGAATTTAGCCTGGTTACTGGGGCCTGGTGGAATCAGAGATTATTTGGTTTAGTTATCTGAGGAATTCTAGAAATGATAGGCAAGATGTTGAATATGAGCACTTATATTTCATTTTTGTAAATAGAGGTTCCTTAGATTTACCCAGATTGTTAAAGATAATTATGGTTGTCATAGCTTTAAGAGTCACAGATGGAGTTTACTCTCCCATTCTACCCATATGAACATAGAAGGAAACCCATTTACTTAAAGTTACTGGACCACTGAGTGGTATATGGCATATGGCAAATTATCTTCTGTTTATTCCCCTTGTTACAGCATTTTGAGCATTTTGTCCATTGTCAACCTTGGTGACTCAACCTTAGTGACTAATCATTTGGTGCCTTCAAATCCAGCAAGTGACTATCTTGGACTAGTCAACCGAAAAATGACTAATGATTATCACAAGGCATCCATCATAAAAGTTAGAATCCAACAAATATAAACATAGTCTCTTCTTGAGGAATGAGCAGTCTAAGTGGGGATAATTATATCTAAGGATCCATGCAGGAATTGTACCTCTAAGAATTATCAGGAAGCCAGTGAAAACTAGCATGTTCCTTTTACTTTTTTTTTCTTTGTTTTTGTGGTGATGAGGATAGAACCTAGGGCCTTGCATATGTTAGCTAAGTATTCTACTCTGAGCTATATCCCCAAACTCAAAATAGCATATGTCCAGAGCTATGTTTGAATGCCTTGATGTGAACTGAATTCTGGAGGCAAGCCTCTGAGGACCATAAAAAATTAAATTAGATTTTAAATGTATTTGCATTTGGGTAACTTAAGAGTCGAGATGCCTTGAGTGACCAGGGCCCGGGGCTATATGTGATGTGGATATATTAAGTGCCAACTGTCTGAAATATCATGTGGGGTCACCAAAGAGAAAAATATGGGACCTTGATGTGAATGACCATTTAACCTATACCAACTTGATACAAAATATACAAACATTAACCATATCAGTAGATAAATAACTCTGTGGTGCCCCTCTACATACGCACAACCTCAAGGCCTTCTGTACCAACTTCTACTTCACTAGGCAACTAAACTAACAAATGATCCACATCTTTCCCACACTAATTGAGCAAATGGATTATAAAGAACCAACTATGCTTATTCCTGAACCTATTTGTGACTTTTGCATTTATTTCTGGAATTGTATTTATTTGAATATTCTATAAACCAGTAAGTATTAAACATTTTTGGAAGACTTGACAAAACTAAATTACTAAAAG